AGCGCCGCCAATGTTGCGCGAGGATTGACCGCGAAAGTAGACTTCCTCATCGCCCGCCTCAAAACGATGCCTGTTCCAGACCCGGAGGGTGTTGATAATCTAGTGCTGCCGGGCTCGTCGTCAGCCATGTTTCCAAATACGCTGGCTGGCGCCATGGGGCTGACTTATGATGTGGATCCGTTTTACGGCTTCGAGCCTCTACTTCTTTGATGACTAGAAGTGCGCCAGGGAACTTGATGTCGGCCTGCTTGAAAGTTTGTGGAAGATTCTTTACTGCTTTTTCGTATTCTCAGTGTCTGATAATGATGTGTTACTTGAGAAGAACAAGAACAGTTCAAAGGTTACATCAGGACATTTTTAAGTTCTACATCCATTCATGCCCAGCTTGATCTTACCGTCCTTTACGCGGGGATAGGATGTAGAAAGGATATCATGGAGTAAGCTTCGTGGACTTTGATTGGTGAAGCCGTGAAGGATCCAAGATTCCGGAGTTGCTGAAAAAAGATGCCGGAGATATAGTGTAGGGACCAATAGAAGAGGGGTTTGCCGTTGCTGACATCAGTTTCATCCACGCTGAGCTCAAGCCGATCGAAATAACCTAAGATCATAGAATGTTCATGATTGGGAACACCTTGTACTTGCTACCTTCAGAAGCAAAACAGGGTGGAACATCAGAGCGGATGTGTATTGCTGATTGACGAATGACCAATCCCGTGGCCCGGAAGGTCCGGAGGACTTCCTAACCTGGTATCTGGTAATCCGGAATGCACCAGGTCTGACACCAAGTCAATGACTCCGACAACTCCATTCTGACGGTGATTTGGAGCATTGACAGCCAAATTCGAGACTCTTTGGCTCCCGATTAGGCTATCTCTGGCCTACTTGCATAGGTCATTGGAATCTGAGTACTCTTTCCGGCACCCGCGCTACTCCTCGTCTACAACTCATAAGCCAGGGGGTATAACAGACACCAGACACTTTATTGTAGATCACTCATGTACAATAAGCAATAGACGAAAGTAATGCCAAGTACCTAACAAGTCATACTTACTCATTTCCCTCCTGCAACATACTAATCAACCCCCACACCTTCCCCTCTACCTCCCCAACTGCTCTATCCAACCTTTCCTTTCTCTCCACATCCACCCTCCCACTTTCCTCACCCGCATAAATTCCCGCCAACCCCGCCAACGGCAACACCATCACCATAGTCGCACTCCCATCCTCTTCTTCCACCAACCCACAATCTAGGGGTACATGCGTGCCTGCATATATACTCTCCTTGATCATCGCCGCAGCCAGGAGCGGGTTGCCAAAGAGGAAGCGATGGACACGTCGACCTGTTCCTGATTCAGATCCCTCGGATGGTGGTAGGAAGTGGTGTAGCCACGACCCGTGGTCGAATTCAGCAAAACATACGAAGTCGGATGGTGTGTTCGTGGACTTGATTAGATCGGTTACTGCTTCGGCATTGGGTTGGGTGCGGAGGATGCCCGGGGGTTGGAGTGCGGGGACGAGGGCGCGGAAACGGTTGAGGATTATGGGGTAGGGGGTGGGAAAGTGGACAGTTATGTGGTTAGCTCTGAAGGTTGAGATGCTTGAGACTTCGGGCAAGGATACTGGTGTGGTTGACATGATGAGTCGTGATGAGGTTAGTGACAGTGAGATGATAAGGTTGCATTATTGAGGGGAAATGGAGAAGGATTCACACGTGATTGGCTTGGATATTGTACAGGAGTGTGGCGCTCAGCTGATTTTGTGAAGGTCTGCCTAGAATGATTTATTCAAGCGCTATATTACCCCAGCCGAATTGCTGGTATGCTAATGACAGTGACCGGCCTCGAATCAAATAGCTTGCTGTTACCATCAGATCTGGTGCGTATGACCTATTCAAGCATATGTCAGTACACAGCACCGGAATCTCTACGCCTACTCACTGCATGATGGTCCATTCTACCTCACAATGTTTATTCTATAAAGTATTCAGATTCAATTGACAAGCCGCGTACTCCCTGCTAAACTTAACAGTGTCTCAGACGTGTTCCGGGTATTGTCCTGACGATCGTTTGCGGGTCCAAATTTCGGGCACCCGCAGTCCCACCGTGCCAGATCTTATCATTTTCTTGAAAATCGGAGATAGCAGCTAGAAATGGCCAGATATAGAGAAAGAAACCGAATTAGCATCAGCCATGCTGTACCACTGGAGGATGGATACATAATTATCGGCTTGGGATTCCTTTTGCGGGCAACAAGACCGAGCTTGCCGCGACGACAAATTCAACTTCTGCACGGCTGGTAGGGGTATGAGATTGTGGACTAATCTCTGATTTGGTGAAAGATCTGCGTTTCCCTTGTTACTTAAACACTTTCTTGTGACACCATGATGTAGTTAGTCCTGTCTGCTTCCGCTGGTGTTGATGCTAACGGGTTTCAATTTACGATCAGATAATGCCTCGTCATGGAGTGCGTAAAGATGCCCACTTTGTTCCTGTTTCGAAATAGATCATTGTACCTGCATAGGGCAGGGCCACGTATTACCTTTAACCTTAATTAAGGAGTTCGATTATACTATAATCCTAATAAAGTTGCGGAGTGTATAAAACTTTCGAGATCGTCCTCTCCTTCGATTTAATTCTCCACGCACTTTCTGAGCCATCGACCAATTCCCTCCTTCTTTCATTCTTCCTCGTTAGTACTACCCACTCAACCATGAGAGTTCACCCCTCCTTCCTAGGCACTCTTGCCCTCAGCGCAAGCACCCTAGCATCCGCCGAGCTCAACGTCCGCACGGTCTACCAATTTGCCTCCAACGACACCTGGCTCGAGAACCTAGCCGTCCGATCTAACGGCCTCATCCTCGCAACCGAGATCGGGCCCCCAGCAAGCCTCCTCTCCTTCGACCCGCGCTCCTCATCCCCAAAGAAGAACGTCATCCACACCTTCTCCAGCGTTCTCGGCCTCTCCGGCATCACCGAAGCAGCCCACGACGTCTTCTACGTAACCGGCGCCAACACCACCAGCGACAACATCTCGGATCCTCCCAAAAATGCCACGCACGTCTGGCGCGTCGACTTCTCCGCCAACGCCGACGCCCCAGATATCAAGCTCATCGCCCGCCCCACTGCACCAACCGGCTTCAACGGCCTAGCGGCATTCAACGAGACCATCATACTCGCCTCAGCCTCCTACCAAGACTCCATCTTCGCCATCGACACAACAACCGGGTATACCTGGGAAGCCATCAAAGATGCGAACCTGATGAGCAGCATCAACGGACTCAAGGTTCAAGATGATTTCGTCTACTGGACTGCAAACGGTGCCCTTTACAGAGCACAGCTCTACTCAAATGTGACTGCTGGTCCTGGAGAACTTATTGTCCAATCTACTGCCTTTGATGATTTTGCTGTTGCCCCGGATGGGTTCCGTGCTGCAAGTGGAAGGAAGTTTGCGTATGCGGCTACGGCGGCGATGAATACGGTCATGCAGATTAGCTTTGACTTGCAAGGTGGGAGGAACCTGACGAGTGTTATTGCCGGCAGTTTGGATTCTACGGAGGTTGCGGAGCCGACGGGGTGTGCGTTTGGGAGGGGTGAGGGCGAGATGGATTGGTTGTATGTCACTACTGGTGGTGCGAGTGCGGTGAATGTGGATGTGGATGGGGTGGAGGTTGCTGTTGGGGCGCAGTTGTTGGGTATCAAGCTCAGTTGAGTGGTGTAGTAGTTGACGGACGGAATCGGCGTGAAGTAGGGGATGTAGAGGGTCATTGTTGCAGGAGAAGGGCACAGAAGAAAGATATGTAGGGTGAAAGTACTATTGTTGTCTCATTGTTGTGGGAGCTATGTGTACGGCGGGCAATAGGTGCTGTAATGTAGGCAATTCGACCAAGCCATAATAGAATATATTCCCCGTTCTACGTACACTATTCTGCCTGCTCAATGCTGAATGAGAGAAACTGATGGCTAGAATACAATCGACATGCCCGTCAGTTATTGTGTGCGGAGATTGGAATCTGTAAGACAGTAACCAAAGAAGAGATAGACACCAACGAATGGGGGAATTGTCTTATTTCTACCACAATTAATTGCTCTTCAAATTTTCCAGCAGCAAAAAATTGCTGGAGCAGAAGATGCGATGAATAGAAACATGCAAAAAGAGATGGTCCCAGAGGGGCTCGAACCCTCGACTTTGACGTTATTAGCGTCACGCTCTAACCAACTGAGCTATGGGACCCAGTTGTTGAAAGCGGCCGCTCCAATGGTGTAGAAGAGGCCCGCTAAGTGCCCACTGTCCACAAGTGGAGTGGAGGCAGAAAACCCAATCTCTACCGCCTTACCCACCGCTCCAAGCGGCAGAACCTAGTCAACCTCGTCGAAAAAACCTCGGATTTAAGCGGATTTAAGGACACACAGCCGCAGAATGGTGATGTCGATTTCTGTGTAAATCTTGACCGCCCTGGGGAAATGCGGCAGAAAATGGTCGCTGATCCCTCGCTCTCTCGTAGACCACTTGCTATTCACGTATCCCCAAATCGTTGTCTCTCTTCACCAAGCCATATAGATGATTTGATTTTTGTTATTAGTTCTATATTGACATGTTTAGACAATTTCTCTAGTTGAGGGCAATGACTCCGCAGTACAGCGCTGCCAGTCAACCTGAACCATCAATGATATATTTCCCCCGAACTACATCCGTTAATAGTACGGGAGTACTGTCTGATTTGCTAACGTCATTATTTTTATGCCAGTATGAAGCACCGTGTTCAGACTTGAGTACATGATTGGGCAAATGACAGTGTTCTTTGAAGGATTACTTTCCAAACATTAAGCATCTCTACATCGTATGCAGATTGCCGGAGCATCGTGCAAGGTGGTTTGTGTTTGGTCCGCTTTGACCTGGATTGCGTTATGCGCGGGGTTATTAAGCAATCGACTTGAACCTCACTGCACCTACCGTTCACTTGTTTTGACATCAAAGCCACACATCTATACTATACCAGCAATATGCGGAGCCTGGTGTGCTTGTTAGCCCTGGCTAGGTTTACTACACAGTCGCTAGGGCAGCAGCAGCAGCCGCTATATGCGACTGCCAAGCCCAATGTCGTCTTCATATTAACCGATGATCAAGACGCGCATCTCGGCTCCTTGGATTACATGCCTTATGTTAAAAAACATCTCCTAGACAAAGGAACACACTATCGCAGCCATTACTGTACAACCAGCGTCTGTTGCCCTTCGCGGGTGACCCTTTGGACGGGGAAACTGGCCCACAATACAAACGTTACGGATGTCAATCCTCCGCATGGTGGGTGTACTACCAATCACCATGTGTACATGGAGATTTACTTATACACTCCCAGGTGGTTATCCAAAGTTTATTTCTCAAGGTCTCAATGACAACTATCTGCCTGTCTGGCTACAGGAAGCCGGGTACACTACCTACTACACTGGTAAACTGTTCAACGTCCACACGGTCGACAATTATAACGCCCCCTTCCCAGCTGGGTTTACCGGAAACGTAAGCCAGTATCATTATCTTACTTAAGTTACTCTCTGATTTATCGCGCAGGACTTCCTTCTCGATCCATTTACATACGACTACCTCAACAGTACCTTCCAGCGAGACCGAGAACCACCCCAAAGCTACGAAGGCGAATACAGCACCGACGTCCTCGCACAAAAAGCATATCGCCTACTTGACGAAGCAGTCGCGGCTCAAAAGCCCTTCTTTCTCACAGTCGCTCCCATTGCACCGCACTGCAATGTTTTCATGAATGGTACCGGCTTAGACGCCAACCCTAAATTCAGCTTCAGCGCACCTATTCCCGCGAAGCGACACGAGCACCTATTCTCCGATATCAAAGTCCCCCGTACCCCCTCCTTCAACCCGGAAACTCCCTCTGGCGCCAACTGGATAAAGACCCTCAAGCGACAAAACGATACTAATGTTGAATACAACGATCATTTTTACCGCCAGCGTCTACGCGCCCTCCAGGCCGTTGATGAACTAGTTGATGGCTTATTTACACGCTTGAAGGAATATGATATTCTCGACAACACATATGTAGTCTATAGTAGCGATAATGGCTACCATGTTGGTCAACACCGACTCCAGCCGGGCAAGTCGTGTGGATATGAGGAAGACATAAATGTTCCCTTGATCGTCCGTGGTCCCAATATTGCCCAGAATGTATCTACGGATATTGTTACAACGCATACGGACCTTGCTCCCACATTCCTCGATTTGTTAGGCATCCCTCTCCGGGAGGATTTCGATGGCGACCCCATCCCTTTGACAGAGAGCCAGATCGAGGAGGCCCATTATGAGAGACAAGAGCATGTCACAGTTGAATATTGGGGATATGCAGCGGGAGAGGGTATATATGACTGTGCGTACCCTACTCATACTCTCCACTTTTTGACTGTGCATGCGCTAATCAGGAGACTAAAAGTTGACCTATCTGCATACAACAATACATACAAAGCTCTCCGCATCAAAAGGATTGGATACAATCTCTACTACTCTGTTTGGTGTAACAACGAGCATGAACTTTACGATATGACTGTAAGTGATCTCGCCTAATTTATTGCCTTCGGAATCCAACCAAAGAGACAGAGTGACCCTCATCAACTCCACAACCTCCTTTCTACAAATGGGCTTCCAAATGTGACCTCTCACATCATCCTGAACTTTGATCTTTCCAAAGTCGTTCAGCGACTTGACTCCCTTCTACTGGTGCTCAAGTCCTGCAAGGGCCAGGTATGTGTCAAGCCATGGGATGCCTTACATCCGCGCGGGGAGGTCACGACGTTAAGAGACGCACTGGATGTGCGCTACGATTATTACTACGAGATGGAACAGACAACGCGGGTCCAGTTCAACGAGTGTGCGCGCGGGTATTTTCTGGATGCGGAGGGCCCACAATTTAGTCAAGGGACTGAGTATGAGGTTCTTCGGGATGGATTGCCATGGTATGAGTGGGTTTAGGTCTGCAGAAGAAGAAGTCTCGAGGGTGACCAGTGTTACACACCTGACGACATTTACCTGCACGGGTTGGGTTGTGTAACATCAATCATATACTTGATCTGAGTTTTGTGCCTGCTTATAATGTGCGAAATGATGGGAAATCGAGTATCCTTGCCAGACGCGTTATTATACGCATAGAAGCCTGTTATTTGGGTATAGTCACCGGGCTTTCTCGAAATTCTTTTGGAACGACTGTCGAAAATGATGTGTTGACGCGTTGTTTTCGTAGACATTCGAGGCCTCAGGCAGGAATTGATATATCCACATGATAAGTCGATTCAGCTAGGGGGTAGAACCTGCATAGCATTGAACTCTGAAGAAAACAGATGTCATTATTGAGACCAACTTGGCTTAGCCTATACTGCAATACATCATATGAGGAACCTTGAAATATTCTAGGAGATTCATGCCTTGTTCATCTCCATGCCAAGACTGGGGATAGAAGCCGAGTCAGCCCCGTTCGGAACGGTCGGGTAGGCCAACATGCGGTCCAATGTGTATTTCAAGTGCCTGTGAGGGCCACATTCTCTTAGAAATCCATACCAGTGCATCTTGTGCGAAAATAGGGAGTATTTATCGGCTACATCAGTCCATCTCCGAAACTATCATTGTCTTCAACCCCGGAAAATCGTGCAGGAACCAGGCCTGCTAAGCACGGAAGACAGGAGTGGGTCACCGTCGCGGTGGAGCCCCCGAAGGAGCCGATTTATTATTATTCCAGCCCGTCTGCGAATCTCCCCATTCTCTTTCTCTCTTCCCCATCTCCCCATATTCCAGTCGTCAGGAACGCTCGCGACAATGGGTTCCGCGATTTCACCCTTTTGGGGTGCACCAACCTCTTATTTGAAGTATGACTTCGAACCTCCAGTCAATTGACGTGCAAAGTGTAGACTAACCAATGCCAATAGCTTCTGTGAAGAGGTCCGTCTAAAGCAACCGCAATCTGGTCTTTTCTTGGTCTTCGATCGTAATCGCTGATTTGTCCTTTAGGACTATGTAATTACGCGATATGTTGCGGAGTTTATTAATACGCTCAGCAGCTTTGTTTACAGTATGTTTACTCTTGTTTCATGGTAGTGCAATTACTAACACGTATGTTTAGTTCTATATGGGATCTACGGTCTCCGGCAGCTCCACAGCAGACAGCAGACCGGGTCACGCTCAATCCTATACTGCGGGTTGATTGGCGTCGGTGTCTGCTCTGCTGGTTACCATATGACTTTGAAATATCACACTCAGATGTGTACTGTTACCTTCCCTTTATTCAGCCTACTTGGTCCACCAAAGTGATGAGCTGACCGTCTTGAACAGCGGATGAACTTTCCATGCACCTCCTCACCACTCCGCTCCTCTACCGCATTCTGTCTTTCCAGGCCACCCCTCAGTACACGAAGACTGTAGGAATCATTCTCTCTGTACTGTTCACGATCGTCATGGTCGTCCACATGGTCATGGACGAGTTCCTGCTCCACGCCGTGACATTCGGGACCGCTGTGTATTTGATCGCGACTCGCACGCTCAAGATCATTCCTCGGGAGATCCCGGATGTCGAGGATCGCAAGAGGATTCAGAACGTGGCGCTGTTTGGGTGCGGTATGTTATTCATCATTTATTTATGGCTTGTCAGCCGTGAGTTTAGCCAATTCTGACATTTCTATAGCGAGCTTCATCTTTGGATACCTCGTCTGGCTGGTTGACGAGTGGGTGTGTCAAGCTCTGATCGGTGCCAGACACGCGGTCGGGCTGCCCGTGGCGTTTTTGCTTGAGTTGCATGGCTGGTATGTAGATCTTTCTCCATTGACGGGATAAGCTTGGGATTTTTCTAATGGTCATACAAGGTGGCATGTCTTTACTGCGATTGGTGGGTATATCGCCGTGGCGATTATTGATTTGATTACTTCCGGGAATTTGCAACGGGACTCGGTCGCACAGCTCGCGTGGCCGTTGCCGACTGTTGCGAGATTGCTTGGGCCGGCTGAGGGAGAGATGAAGCGAAAGTAGAATTGGGCAATTGAATGGTGTTGAGGAGACAGGGAAGAGTACAAGTAACTGAACAGAGGCTTGTGCGGATGGTGTGAGCGAAGTGATAGAGATATGGATGATTCTTTAGATACTCATAGAACCATGAGGATGTGTTGTGCTAGCCATCCTAGGAAGTGTTGGTAGAACGTCACAAGTGAACGAGTGATATGCCCGGAAAAGGAAAATGCTCGGCATCAGAAATGTTCTTGTCCTAGAGTCAAGTACACGGCCTTGAAGCTCAAGGCGGGCTATCATTGTTCTACTCATGCAGTGATTTACTATAAGGTTGGGTCTACAGTAACTCGGAACTTCAAGGCCCTCGCCCAGGCTTCGAAATAGAAATATAAACCCTACAAGCAACATGATATTTGAGTTAAATAGACGCCATCAGCCGTGTACGGACTGCAGCCCTTGGGAGGAGCTCGCAGAATAGACTGATAAAATGCTACATGCTCCTTGCAAGCGGTGATGAAGTGCAGTTTTTGACCTTTAGAGCTACAAGCCAGGGTGGTAATTTGATATCCAGTGTCCCCTATGTCTATCTCTGAAACGCTCGTACTATCTCACAGGCTTCTGTTTACATTTACTATTGGGAACGGTGGCTTTGCAGCAAATTAACGAATCGTTGTTTGCAAATGCAATCTATATATCAGCATAGTCTGGCTCTGGGGAAAAATGCAAGATGCCAAGAGGTGACTTATTACCTATCAGAAGCATTGAATTGGCAGACAGGAGATCGACAAATTTAGGACGAAAGTCAGCTGGGATGGCCACAATTCTCTTCCCGTTGTATGTCACCCATTTTAGATCCCTTTCCAATGTGTACAAGGCCAGGTCTTCCCAGTTCAGCAAGAGCGGCTGTTGAAATGAGATATCACGGTAGCACGGTATTATTTTAATGGGGGTTTCCTTTTCCATATCCCATATATAGATGGATCTACTAGCTCTTGATGCCAGTCGGGTATCGTCTGGCGCAAAGGTCAGAGAATTAACGGATGACGAATAGCCAGTGTACTTCGTAATAGCTTCTCCGGTTCTCAGATGTAAGATCTTGATGCACCCATCACAACCTATCGCGACCTGCTTGCCGCTATGAGAAAAGGCGAGGGATCCGGTTTGATCATATCCGATGTCAAGATCATACTGTATCGGATCCTTGCCAAAGCTCCAAAGAGTCATGACTTCGCCTGACAATGATGCCACCATGTCACCATTTGGTGAGAAAACTAGTAACTCACTTTCTGGCAGTCGTGTTGGGCTAGCTTGTTCTTCCCTACCAGTAGCACTATCGTATACCCTCAGAATACCATCTTTATCATGGAGGACCACTCTACTGCTATCTGGCGAAAATGCAGTAGTCATGTCAACTGAGGTCTCAAGAACAAGGCTGGGTTCCCATGTTCTGGTACTGAACAACTTATAGCAGCCGTATATATCGGCGAAAGCCAGGTAATTGTTATCTGGCGAAAATTTCGCGAACCGGCCAATTTCTTCTGTCAGTCTGTGTCGGATTTTACCACTGGCAAGGTCCCATACTTCAGAAATCTTTCCGACTTTAAAGAAAATAGCTGTTTCTCCACTGGGAGAAACGATAGAAGTGAGTATACTTTCGAAAGTATCAATTGATGACCCTGGTGGTTGGTCCACTTTACTCAAGCCATGGAGATCCCAGACTTGCACTGCTTGCTGGCGTTTCGTTGAGGAGACTAGCTTGCGACCATCAGGGGAGAAGGTAAAACTTCTGACTCCATTCGAATAACCTTCGAGCCGGTGAACAACGCGGCGAGTAGTCAGGTCCCATATCTCTATAGTTCCTGTATATGTGCTCACTGCCAGCTGGGTGCAATCTGGAGGGAAGGCTATTCCTCCGACAAAGGGAAACTCGATTTCTATTACCTCCTCAGATCCCTTATCTAAATCCCATACTCTTACCCTGAAAAAACCGATCCTAAGAGCGATTCTTTTGAGATCCGATGAAAAGACAGCTTGGAACCCGTAAGTATTCCCCTCCTCGAAGGCGAATATTTCCTTGGTATCACAAACCTCAGTGCCAAGGGGAATGATCTTACTCAACTTGATCCGGCCATCCGAGCATGATGCAATGAGCTCTCCGTTAGGTGACAAGAACCATTCTCCAAACTGGCCATGTATGATTTTAGTTTCGCCAATCTCAGAGTCCCAGACGTACACTGCTTGGGAATCTTTTGAGAAGAAAGTAATTTTTCCTGAGTCAGGCAAAGATCTAATAGCTGCAATGTCTCTGACACTGACCGGTATGTTTTCTCGTCGATCCAGGTGCCCTGTAACAATATCGAAAATATTGACAGTGTGATCTTTATAAACTACCATTAGATTCCTGCCATTGGGATAGAATGATATTCCCAAAACTTCTTGCTGCCCAGGACTTGCGTCACCTTTTTCCAATAGTTGTTCCAGTGCCCCAGTGATCATATTCCAGACCATTACCCGGCCAAATAAAGTACCAGCTGCGACCTTTGTTGAATCAGGAGAAAAGGTTGGACATCGTGGCTCCTCGCAGCGAAGTATACGCTCCTCTTGGCCCCAAGAGTCGTGATTAGTAGAGGTGAGTTTTATCCACCGGGGAGATTCTTTCTGATATTGCCTTCCCAGCACACTTGATGACGGGGAGAAAATAAGGGCAGAGTAATATATTTGAAGAGGAGCCTCGGAAATGTCAATGCCATGATGGTTGACGAACTGTCTCCCATCATCAACATATTCGAAAAGTTCTGAATAGTCCCCAGGCTGCTTCTCATGTCAATATATCTACAGGGAGATGTTGGGACAGTACTCACGGCAACACGAGCCTTCAGTTCAGTCATCGTGGGACTGGCATGCGACATCCTCCTTGTCAGACTTAGAGCTTCGAGCCAGTGGGTGAAATGCTCTTTTAAAAAGGTCAACAGTCGTGTGGCTTCCGTTGTCTGAATAGACCCCGCACAGTTGATATGGGTACCCCAATACCAACAGGCATACTGAACCTCCTGGGGAAGATGCTTGTTGATGATTTCCTGTGATAACTCAATTGCTGCAGTTCCTGGATGTCGAAGATCGCAAATGTTCCTGCGCAAGTAATTTTTCTCATGAAGAATGTCCATACATCGATGGAAAAGTTCCTTATTCGCTCCCTTCTCGTCAATGACGAGCCTCTCATCATCGCATCGATTCGGATCAACAAGGAAATCACGAAAGGAAAGATGGAAGATTGAAACCTGCGAGTCGTCATCTTCGGGCACAACCAGGACTGACTTCAGGTCTTTGAGCATTATTCTGATGTTTCCGCACGATTCTCGGAGAAGGGTGGCAAGATTACGCAGTGAGAGCGCCTCTGGCATAGTGATGACTGACCCAACTACTAGCTGGAACAGAGGAATCAGATATATACTATCAGGACCGCGCTCTGTGATTGCCTGCTTCAAGACGAATTTGTACATTTCATCAATGTCCTTGGTAAGAGAAACATGCTGCTTATATGTATTGAGCAACAAATCCAAGGTAGCGTCGAGGAACCCAGTAGCCTCGAGCAATCGACAGGCAGTCGCTGCAGCGATGAACAATCGTCCACATCGTTCAATAAGCCTTTCTGCTCGTTCTTTGCCAGGCCACGCTTCCTGGGACCCGTCATTAGGCTGCTTCCTTTTAGCAATATCGGACAGTTTATCCTCGAGGAAGATACGGATGTCTCGTTCTGTGGTCACGTCTCTAGTACCATCAATCATTACATCACAATAGGTCGTTGAAGGAATTTGTGTGAATCCATCAGCCAAATAATCCTCGGGCCGGCTGGTAACAAAGATCCGTAGCTGGACTTTGCCTAGCGTTCTCGCGGTCGCCAGCAGCTTCACGATGCTCTGGGCATATATGCGTCCGTTTTGGCATTCATCCAACGCGTCAATCACAAGGACTAGAACCATCGAATGCGAGAATTTGTCGCTCAGCGCAGAAAGGGGCTCAAGAAGGAGACCTCTCCATTGCTGAGCTAGAGATTGCTGAGCCACGTCATGCTTGTGCTGGATGGAGTCTTTCAGGTGGGCCGCAAAGCCAGGGAGCACATCTGCTAATTGTCGGGCCAGGGTGGGAAAGAGTCTATCGGGGTCTGCTCGATCGGCATTGCTTCTCGAGAAGAAAAATGAGGCACCGAGAAGAAGCTTATCATTGAACATCTTGGCCACAGTTCGAGCAATGGTAGACTTGCCAGTGCCTGCCATGCCTCTGAGCCAAAAGATGCAGTTGTTATCGCCCCCACTTCCCCATCTTTGGATTTCACGGAGAATCTGTTTCCGGGTATCTTCATGGCAGTATGGTGGAGGGGGCATGTCCTTCCTATAAGTATCAAACGCAGCATATTCAGCTTCGGGCAGTCCCCTGATCAAGGCGTCCTGTGCGAGGAGCTAATTGCAATGGTTAACTAAAGGCCCGCTGGTACGACTGTTCAACGTACCTTAATCTCCTCGTTTGCCTTTATACTCTCATCCAAAATCAACTTCACAGTCTGCCGAAGGTTAGACATCTGATTATTAATGCTTGTGATCATCTTCCGATTAAGCGTTTTCAAATCAGAAGTGATACTATCTTCCGTATTCTTCATATTCGTAAGCATGGCCGTCCAATTGTCTTTCAGAACGGCGTCCCTTAGTAGACGCTTGATGGAAGGGCGAGAGTACTGAGCCACCAGCGAAATCTGATACTTTAGGAACTGTGAATAAAGGTCGATCATCTTGTCCTTCACCCGAGAAAGGAGCTTCGGATGTTCAGATGACTGACCCTTAGAGATTAAAGGGGTTGCTTCTATGAGTCGACAACGAACCAAGATGTCAGAAATCTTTTTCAATCCAGTCTTGGCGGTATCAAACTGTTTCAGTGCATTATCTAGCAACTATGATCAAAGGTTAGCAACCGAGTATTTAGCATCAAGGCCCCAAGGGCCAGCTTAATCCGTATCTGTGAAAACTCTCGGCTATGGCGATGCTGCAACGGGTATTAATTGGGTGACTTACGGGGAAAAATCCTGCCACGCAACCCCATGCCAGAGCTGCATGAGGCTCCGCACTAACAGTTGCTGTGATGATGTCCTTGAACATCTTGATCGTTCCGAATATCTCAGACACATCGTTCCTAACGACGCGGCCCCTGACGACCAGTCTTGCATTCTGTATCACATCCAGTTTGTCCTTGACAATATCCTGCAGCTTTTCAAGATTGCCCTCATTGCCCCTTCCATCGGCATCGCCATTGCTAGTTCCTTTCTCGTCTTGACTGATCTCCGCTTCTACTAGAAGCTTGACAAATTGGGCCATGACGTTTTTGTTCATTTCCTGCCCGACCTTCCGGTAAGCTGCTTCCCAAAGACCGTTACGCAGTGTCTTATCGTGCAATCGGTGACTCAGCTCCTCCTGCTCGACTGTGCTAGGAAGCTCAGTAAAAGCCTCCTCCTTACCAGCCATCCCCTTTTTGTCTGTCGTCTCTTTCTTGTCCGTCATCTCTTCCGTCTCGGCCATTTCGTTCCCTTCATCGTGGCTAGTCTCATGGTCGACATCCTTGCTTCCGGATTGCGGGAGACAATGGAGATTAGATTCACCTGGTGGAGCCTGAACTGTATTGGCGGATTGAGGGTCGTATTGTGGTTCTTGTCTCAGTGCAGACGAAGCAGGCGAAGACGAAGGTTCGACCTTTGGGTACAGTTAGCCATGCCCGGTTTCGACTGGTCAAAAGTCTCTGCTTTACCTCCTTGTCGGCTTTATCCGGCTTCTTCCAGGTGCTAGGCTTGAAAATGCCTTTCAAGGTCTCCTTACAGGTCATCTTGCTTGCCTCAGTTGGGGAAACAATGTGGGTTGACGATGGGTGCGTTTGGGATTCAGAGCGGGGTTAGGAAGTGTTGGGTCAAAATTAGGCGCCTGGAAAAAGCAATTACACGTGGCCCCCTGCTCTACGCCGTGGTCAATGCAACTATTGACAGATAACCACTCTTCGATAACAATAATGGTGTTATGTGGAAAATTTCAAGGATATTCCCTTTTTCACTTTTTCTTCTGCTGTCACCTTGAGTCCTCTTGCCCCTTTCTGTGTTTATTACTTTTTTTTCGAATAAATTGCGCCTGTACATCTAACCATCATCAGATCTTGTCTATCAAAAAGTGTACCTAGATGAGCTCTGAACGTAAAATTAGATGAGCCTGGATAAGCTTTCGCGATAGTATCACAAAGAAGCAAAATCCACAGCGCCACTGTAGCACATCCACTGCTTTAACTTTGAGGACCGCATTTCGATATGAATGAATCCACCTTCATCCCGAGAGTGGGGGTCTTACCGCTATTCCTCGGTCTGTCATTGGCAGATGCCTGATATCCGCACTGATCTTGAGATCCAACCCCATGAATTAGCAACACCTTGTTAGACAAGACCGTAGGCCAACAGCATCTCCGGTGCTTCGTTGAATCCGACGCTATTATTGCTCGGAGAAATACCCAGAGATTCTCCAGGTTGCTCCTACTCGTGCAAATGTCCTAGTATATAAGACTCAAGACTACGACTAGCGTAACTCACTAGTACCACGGATCCCTGCAACCCAACCCTTGAAGTTCGTTTCTCACTATTTATTGTCCTCATAGGTATCACTACATATGTGGTGGCAGTATGACTGATCCTTGCTTCGGCAAATCATCGATGTTGAGATTCTGACCTTGACACGCGACCCCGGCCCGAACCGCGCAGCAATAAGATTCCGCGCAATCATTTTTAAATCTATAATGGGGACTCTGGGGGATTCATGGGGTTTACAAGCAATTTGACAATTTATCCATTAGTGGGCCAATGACTTCCAGTGGGAGTCAGCCGACTGCGTAAGTGTTAGCAGCGCTGAATCATTCACACATAAGGACACGGCCCTCAATCCAAAAAGACCCTTCGAGCTCACGTCTACCAGAGTCAAGCAGGAATTCTTCTTCAATGCTCAGAGGCTATTACGGGATTGGTTTGCCACCCACCCCAACACGCCAGTACCTTTGCATACCGATGTTGGGAAAATGACAATGCCCCCCCCCCCCCCCCCCCGAGTATGGCGAACGAGATTCGGAATAACGAACATCTGAGCTTCTCCCGATGGGCTATGAAGGTGTATTCTTTGCCTTCCCAATATTTGCAGTTGCATAACTTGCTTGCGTGGAAAACTAAGAAGGCCTCAGGCATTCCATGAAAATCTACCTGGGTTCGACGGATTCCGTGAAAGTGGCCAAGACTCGGGGATTGTCCAGGCTGTTATTGAAAATGACCTAACGAAGTACTTGAGTGAGTCACTAAATCTCATCAATAGTGATGTTTGTGCGTATTTGCACACTGATTTATAATCCGGATTCCTTACAGATAAGGTTACCGAGCCCCTTGCCGATGAAACTTCCGTGGCGGTCCGTGAGCTGTTAACCGATGATGAAGGTATAAGATCTTGATTCTTTGAACTGGGAGTGGTAGGGCTAATAAGTATATTCATTAGAATGGCATACGATCCTCTTGAGTGGTGTGATAGTGGCTCTCATTTCCCGCATCTCCTCTCGTGTTTTCCTTAGGGAGAAGTTGTGTCGGAATGAAGAATGGCTGCGGATCACTCAAAGCTATACTATAGATGGATTTTTAGCGATGACAGAGCTCCGCATGTGGCCTGCAGCTATTCACCCTATCGTACCCTGGTTCTTGCCCCGATGCCGTAAGCTCAGGACTCAAGTGAGTAAGGCTCGCCAAGTCATGCGGCCAATACTGGAGGAGAGGCATCAATTAAAGGAAGGCGTCCATGCAGAGGGTAAACAATCACCAATTCTTGACGATGCTATTGAATGGTTCGAAAAGGCCGCGAAGGGTCGGCCTTATGATCCTGTCGGCGCGCAGCTGATCCTTTCTGTCGGGGCCATCCACACCACTTCGGACCTGACATGTCAGACAATGACCCATCTTGCACAAAACCCAGAGATTGTGGAGCCTTTGCGCAAGGAAATTGTAGATACTCTCCAGCAACATGGTTGGAAAAAGGTCGCTCTGTACAACATGAAATTGCTGGATAGCGTTATCCGGGAGAGCCAAAGACTGAAACCAGTCACTAATGGTAAGCAGAGCATTATTCTATCCATTCTCGTACCAGCCAGATCTTTGACTGTATTATGTATAAATAGTCTCAATGCGCCGGATGGCTCTTAAAGAAGTGAAGCTCTCCGATGGGACGGTTATCCCGAAGAATGGTATGCTTGCGGTATCGGCACACAAGTTGTGGGATGATGACACCTACGAAAATGCGGCTTCCTGGGACGGATACCGGTTTTATAAGATGCGCGATGATCCTGAGCGACAGACTCAGGCACAACTTGTTACAACCGCCCCAGAGAACTTGGCTTTTGGACATGGCAAACATGCATGTCCTGGACGCTTCTTTGCTGCCAATGAGGTGAAAATCGTCTTGATTTATCTCCTCCTGCGGTACGACTGGAAGCTGTTGGAAGGGACGGTACCAAGGATTTTCTCTGGTGGGTTTGGCATGTCACTTGACCCGACTCTGAAAATTAAGGTTAGAAGGCGTCGTGAGGAGATGGAAATATAAAGCACGCAGTCGGTATCACGGAGGGGCCCACAATGTTCTACCCCGATGTACAGTCATGAATGGAGAAAACAATGGCTGTGCAGATACCAGACATGGAGGGGAGATATTGATGTTGCAAGAGGAAACAAAACCTACAATTGCTGGACCAGATATTCGGCGGAAACCCTCCGAAGTAGAACCGGAATTTCACCGGACAGGGCTGAAGGGCAGTTGAGTGGGGCAACCCCCCTGAAACCCTTCTGGAGCCAACATTATTCGCCCCGTTTAAATTTTAAGCATGCCGCTGGTGTCCATGTCGCATCCCTCCTCAATCATCTAGCCTTTCTGGCATGCCGATGACCCATTTCTGACCCATCGCATGTACTGTGACAATGGGTGCCTCCCTCACCCCATACACGCAAAAGCTATCGCGCAAAGGCCATCGAAAATCCCGTCTAGGCTGTAAAAATTGTAAGAGGCGTAGAGTCAAAGTCAGTTCTCCATTGCTTCTCCACTCCGGATGAATGAAGGATGTTAACCGACTTCCAGTGCGATGAGATCAAACCACACTGCACCAATTGTCTCCGCCATTCAATAGAGTGCGACTACAGCTCTCAACCCCAGACTGACTCCAACTCCACTCCACCATCCCAACAATCAGACTCAGTATCACCGTCATCACAGGGTCCCAGCACAGACAGTTACACCTTCTACTCATCCACACCCACGAACTTCCGACCCCCAAAACGAGGCCATGGCACTTCCCACACATCAGAATCTGACCCAATCCCACCAAACAACGACCTAGTCAAGCGCCCCTTTCAATACACAGCACTGGACATGCTGCTCTTCCACCACTTCTCCACATCCCCTGAACTAACCGGCGCTCAACCAAAGGCGCGACAACAACTATGCCAAATCGCTTTCGCCCACCACTACGTCATGCACATTCTCCTCGCCTTCTCTGGCTTCCATCTCGTGCGACGCTCGGACGATCAACAGTGGAGTCAAAGCATGGGATTCACTGAAACAGAAATCTACACCGAAGCTGAACGCCACTTCAACGTTGCTGTTCGAGATGTTTCAGCCATCTTACCGCATCTTGACCGCGATAACAGCCCCGCAATGTATGTCTCTGCGATTTTCATCTTCATCTCAAGTCTCGCCCGTGGCCCTCAACCAGGCGAGTACCTCGCTTTTAGGAGTGACGGGGACCCAGGCCATCTGTCTCTGTTTCTAGGTGTCCGATCTGTATTTGAGCTGTGTAGCGGGGACATGCCAACAAGTGTATTTGCAATCCATGGAGAAGACAATAATCCTGCCCCTCCCTCTGATAACCCGCAAAATGAGACACAAAGCGACGGTTCCGAGTCTACCTCACAACGAAGGACAAAACTAGGAGACTACCGCCACCACCTAGAAACGTACCGCGCCCTCCTCATGACATCCATACTCATCGAGGATCCACGACTACCTATCTACCTGCAAACACTTGATCGACTAGGTGACAGCCTCGACGTCGTAATGGGTCCCGAGCCGCAGGGAACAATAGGAATGGCTCTCTTCCCGCTCGTCTTTGCGTGGTTGTATCAGTTGCCCGATGCGGTGGTGGGTGATTTGCAGCGGAGGGAGCCGGTCGCGTTGATTATGTTTGCGTTCTTTTTGTATCTGCTTGATCGGCTGGATCATGTGTGGTTTATTTCTGGGTGGCCGCGGCATATTCTAGAGGGCATTAGGAGGCATTTGGATGGGGTGTATGGGGAGTATATTCAGTGGGCGGTGGATCATATTAGAACATCAACAGATCGGTTAGGGGCATGTACGGAAGTTGTTACTAGATGATGAATTGCCAAGATGAAATCTAAATGACCACTTTATATATATTCTCAGTCTACGGAATAATCAGAATAGTACTCGATGACGGTTAATATCACCCTCCCAGCGTCCCCTCAACCACCCACCTCGCCAATCTCCCCAAAGTCATCTTCGCATCCATCAATTCCAACATACTCACACCCTTTCCGAACGCTCCCTGAAACCAATTGCGGAACTCTGTCGCCATCAAACTATCAATACCATGCTCCGCCACCGTCTTCTCGGGATTCACACTGCCTACATCTACAAACAACAGGCTCGCCACGTTGGCCCGGATAGCCTCAGTCACCAACTCGATGGTCTGCGTCCCCGCACCTTCTTTAGAGCCTTCACCCCCCGCCATTAGTTGCCGTTTGTACTGGGCGGTAGGTGACGCGTCGGTGTCGTTGATGTCCGTGTTACTGAGGGAGGAGGCGTCCTCTACAGCACGAAGCATCAAGGAGACACGAGGATCCTGGTGCCATCTGGGGGTGGGGGAAGAGGCGAGGGAGGCAGACGAAGATTGGGCCATCTTGGCGAGGACGACTGGGTCAATGCCGGTTACTATGTGAGACGCAGAGAGGGGGTCATCATTGTGGCCGAGCCATTCGGCGTTGGAGTGGTTGTTGACAAAGGCTGGCTGGAGCATACGTACAACCTGGGCTCCAGTCATACTTTGACCTTTAGCGCGAGCAAAGAGTTTGACAGTGACGGGGTCGTTGGTCAAAGGGCCCAGGTCGTTGATGAAGCCAAGGGCAACGGTGGTGGCGGGGAGACCCAACCGGCGGCGGTAGCGGCCAAAGTAATCAAGGTAGTTGTTGGCAGCGAGGTACGTGCCTTGAGTTGGGAAGGCGTACATTGTGCCCAAGGAGGAGGTCATGGCGAAGAAGTCGAGGGGAATGGAGATCGTGGCCTCGTGGAGGTGCTGGACGCCAAAGACTTTGGCCGCCATGCCTTGGTGAAATTTGTATTCGGTCATCTTATCGAATGGGATGTCTTGGTATGAGACGGCGAAGTGCAGGACACCGCGAACAGGTCGTTCGGGATCGGCATGGGCAGCTTTCATGGCGTGCATGACGGCGTCGCGGTTGGCTACATCGCAGGCAATGGGCTGGACCCGGATGTCTTGGGCTGCCAGCTCGGTGATCAGACGCTCTGCTTCGGGGGCTAGGTTGTTTGCACCACGGCGGGACCATACCTCCATGTCGCGGGCACCGCGGCTGCTCATCCACCGCACGATGGAGCGGCCTAGGTCGCTCAGCCCGCCAACGAGGATGTAGCGAGCGGCGGGATCGAAACGCGCCGGGGGCGCGGATGAGGTGGGGAGAGTCCGCAGCAAAGTAGATGGGTCTTGGTAGGTGATGACGCGCTTTCCGATGTGGGTTCCTTGCGAGAGCTGGAGGAGGGTCTGGTCGAGGTTCCCAATGTCTGCAATTTGGTAGGGCTTGATGGGTCCAATGCGACCAGCGCGGAAGTGCGCGTGGACGGACTGCATCAGCTCGGCTCCAAGCACAGGGTCGCGCTCTACAACGAGACCGAGATCAAATGAAGTGAATCCAGCACTTTTTTGGAAGAGCTCCAGGCCGATACTTTGGGAGCTAGTGACATCCATGCGACCAACGTCGATCAAATGTCCCAACGGGGCGAGGGCTTTTACGGACTCGTACAACATGTCTCCCTGCACGTTACTAAGTATGACATCGAACCCTCCATGCTGCTGACTGGCATGCTGTAGACTGGTCAAGTCGCGGGAGGAGAAGATATGCGATGCCGGAATACCCATGTGATCTGTCAGGAACTGAACTTTGTCTGGAGTACCGGCCGTCGCATAGATGGCGGCCCCCTTGGACCGTGCCACTTGAATAGCTGCCAGCCCCAGGCCGCCCGTAGCCGATTGGATTAGTACCTTTTGTCCAGCCCTGACACGGGTGACATGCTCGAACGCATACACCGCAGTCATGTACACCAGCGGCATAGTGGCCGCCTCTATTGGGTTGACGTCCTCAGCCAGCTTTTGTGCGAGGCCTGCAGGCACACGAGTATGGGTGCCAAAGTGCCCCTTGCCCAGGCCATAGACTCGGTCACCAACGGTGACGCCAGTAACATCAGCTCCTGCCTGGGTGACAGTACCGCAGTATTCGTTAGAGAGGTTGTTCGCATCGAATCGGCCGGAACATAGGCCCAGGTCTTTCCAATTGAGCCCGACAGCATCTACCTTGACGTCGATATAGTCCCGTGGTAGAGGTTGCAAAAGCTCCGTATACGGACGGAAGTAGAGGGAAGTGAGGATTCCCGGTGTCTCGAAGTCCGCCCGTACAGGTCCAAGGCTGCCCAGTGGAATCTCTTGCCTGGTGGGAGCTACCTCAGCATAGCCTTGCAGCTGCCCGTCGGGCACGAACCGGCTCGTCCACATGCAGCCATCTTGCCAAATCATGTCACGATTAACTTCGGAAGGCCCGTTGTCATTGAGAGTGGGCTGCAGGAGATGCTCCTGTTCAACTAGGCATCGGACCAGCTCGTCCATCTCGCCGGCAGGGACTTGAAAGCCTTCCGCATCAATGTCCACGGACAGAAACTGCCCGCTCGGGTTTTCAGTTCCCAGTGTCCGAAGCAATCCGCTGACGAATGCACCATCGGGATTTCGGCCCTTCACTAGGCCACAAGAGGTGACCCAGACCATACTCGCCGTATTTGCAGCTAGATGCTGGAATATTCCCAGCCGACGTTGGTCGGCGGCAAACAGAAGGTTCTCTCCATCCAGGAAAGCCACCACGCGAGAATTGGGGCCGATAATTTTAACTACTTGGTCCAGAGGACTAATCTGGACAGATAGGCCTCGCTGTTCCATGGCCCGGGCGAGATGATGGAGAAGGGCAGGGGTGTCTTGAGACCCATGCATTAGGTGGACCACAGGACTACCGCTCTTGCAAGTCGGCGCTGGCTCGGGCAAGGTGGACAGGATTATGGTGGAGGAAGGGTCAGCTTCGCGACAAATTAGCTTAGCCCCTGACTCGAATCCCGCGCGCAGAAGGCATTGGTTCCATGCAAGATCACCACTTTCGGTGTGGTCCACTAGTACAAGGTGTCCCCCAGGATGGAGAAGCTTCTTGGTGCTTGTTAGGGCCTGCTCGGTTGCTGAGACATTTTCCGCGTTGCTCCACAGGATGATGTCGTAGGTCGCTAACTGGAATCCCTGCTCTGAAAGATCTTGATTCATATCCAACACGGCGTATTCGACGTTACGGAATTCTGATGTAGTCTCACGGAAGGAGTCGAGCCGCGGTGCAGACACGTCTGTTGCTACGTATTCGCGGTAGCTCTTAATGCCATTGTGACCGACTAAGGCCTTTAGTACCGTCTGGCCAGCATTGCGGTCATCTCTCCCAGCGTTGAGCTGCAGAATCCGTAGTTCTGGGTTGGCGTGGCCCAGGAGGTCGAAGAGGTATGAGAGCTGAGAAGATGAAGTAGACTTGCCTACAGATGAAAGCAGTTGTCTCCACTGGTTCCGGCTTAATGTTCGACTGTCAGGTCTCCAGACAAGACGCGCATAAGGGCTGGAATACGCCTTTGTAGAAAGATCCTCTGCAGAGGACTGTTGCTCGTTGAAATTGGTGTACCGCATGTTGTCCACATCCATAATAGCTTCCCCAGAGTCATTTAATAATTGAAACTGGGCGTAAGCCCCACGTAGTCCACGCAGCTCACCGCGCGACACCCCTCTAATCCAGTCGCGGTCTTGGAGGCAGCCGAGCTTGAACCGCATCTGGTCGAAATGAATGGGCAACTGGACGCTAGCCGTTTCCGCCTGTCCGCCATTACAGGCCATGAGACCCAGGCGGATAGCCCGATCCAAGGAGGTGGGGTGGATGGGATAGCTCGACTCGCCTCCAGGAAACATGCCTGATGTGGTATTCAAGGATAGCTTGGCCACTGCCACGTTGCTATAAGGGTCAGCCCAGATATCTGAATATCCTTGGAACGAAGGCCCAAAGTGGAGGCCCATATCGGCTACGCGAGTTTGCCAAGCCTGTTCATTCACCGCACGTCCATCCATGGTACTTGTGTCAATGGGAGTAGGCGCGTTGAAGGTAGCGGCCTCAACCTTGACCATACCTGCGCAGTGCTCCGTCCACTGCTCGGAGTCATTTACCACTGAAGCGATAGAAAATCTTGCCCATCCTGGAGATGCGGCGGTCGCACCGTCCTCTAGCTCCATGCTAAGCACGATTTCAATGCCCCTATCGTCTTGCGGGACAACTAAAGTCTTCTTGATTGAGACGTTACGAAGGGTTAAGCTAACAATGGGCAACGCATCGGGCAACTCCGCATAGGCCTGTTCTGCTGCCAGCATCGCCATAACGATGTGTGCCGCTCCGGGGTGCAAAACGTGAGGAGGCATGCAGTGGTCATTCAGCCAGGGCAGACTTTTCAAGCGGAGTATGTTTCGCCATTGCGGACGCAGCCGAGTTGTCCCTGGCACCCGGGCTCCAAGCAGATCATGCCGGGGCCAGCGTCGGTGACGGTACTCCTTGCTCAAACGGCTCTCGTGGTACTTTATAGGTCCATAGGAGTACCGGTAGGGCGGCAGATCAATAGCCATGCAGCCATGTACGAGCGCTCGTTGTGCTCCAAGTGATTCATCAACGGCGTTGACTGCCACCAAATCGACCTCTGCATTGAGGGCAAATAGCGTTCCGGCGAGCCCAAGTAGCGAGCGGCGAGCATCCTGACTTCTCTCTACAGAAGCAACATGAGGAACCGTGCGCCCCAAGCTTTTGGCGATCTGCCCCAAAGGGCCTTTCAGCGCTGGATGAGGACCAATCTCCACAATGACGCCAATGCTCAGGTCATCTGTATCTAGAAGCCTGGAGGCGGCATCGGTAAATCGCACGGGTGACTCCAGATTTGCCTGCCAATACAAATCGGTCACTTCATCCCGAGGCATGGATGTGTTTTTATGTGGCACCACCGAAGAAACCCAGGGGACGTTGGAATATTTGTGGGCAGTATCAATCATTCCTACGCTGGCAAGATGGTGCAATGCATCATCAATGGCCTGAGCGTAATCGTGCCCAAGTAACTGCATATGGTGTGAGTGATAGGCAATCCCACCGGTCCGAAGTTGCCGGTTGAAGACAGCCTCTTGGGTGAGCTGGACACTCAGTTTTCCGATAGCATCAGCGTCACCGGACATGGTGATGCTGACCGGAGAGTTGATGGCCGCTACCTTGACTCTATCCCCGAGCCCAGCGCGTTTGATGTACTCGGCCCCCTGCTCTGCCCCAAATCCCACGGCCAACATAGCGCCCTGTTGTTGGTTGAATGAGACAATGTATCCACGGTAGTAAGCAATGGTGATGGCCTCTGCGGCTGTGATCCGACCGGCGGCATACGCAGCAGCCATTTCGCCTGATGAATGACCCACTACCCCCGCAGGGCGGACCGACCATGATGCCAACAGGTCAACAAGTCCAATTTGTAGCGCGGTACATGCTGTCTGAGACACCCCAGGCTTGTGAATGAGATCCTTATCGCATTTGCCACATAGAATGTCTGCAACCTTCCATGAGGCGGGCTCGGGCAACATTGCCAGCACGGTATCGAGGTATGCGATGACATCTCTGAAGACGGCGTACTCGAACATTTCCGCTCCCATGGCAGGCCATTGGGAACCTTGTCCTGTGAAAATAAAACCGACATTTACTTGACGGGGCGAAACAAATACCTTGGGTTCATTGTCCGTGACCTGTCCGCCCCGGACGACCTGGTCTTTGTCAACAATCGAGAAGGCTCGCTGCGAGAAGCGGGATCGTTTAGATGCGAGAGTGTACGCCACATCTGCCAGTGAATTATGAGGAAGGGAATTGTGCAGCGCCTCCATGTTCGCTTTTAGAGAAGACTGATTATGCGCGGAGAAGGGAAGAACCACCATCTGGCGAGTGGTAGCATCGGCCCGTCTGACCATTGTCGGAGAATCGATTATTGGACGGTGCAGCGCAAACTGCGCTTCTGAGGTGGCTTCATTGGTTTTATTGTTGTCATTGGTGCTCGTTATTACATGTCCATTGGTATCATTTGACGTCTCAGTCTGCTTGTCGACGATGCCGGGCTTCACATACTCCGGAATGGCATTGTGGACGTGGTCGATGATGCAATGGCCGTTGGTGCCTCCAAAGCCTGCCGATGTGACACTTGCCCGCTTAAGTCGGTCTTTTGGCCATGACTCTAACTCACTGATGACGCGAGCCTTGGCTTGATCAAAGTCGATGCGTGGATTGGGAGTCTGGAAGCCAAGGGTTGCAGGGATCTTCCCAGCCTCGAGGGAAGCGACCACCTTGAGGATACTTGGCAAAACGCTTGCACCTTCCAAATGGCCCACATTAGTCTTAACAGATCCTATAGGCAGGCGATCTTCAGGGTCATTGGACCGAGATGGCCCAAACACATTCCCAGCTGCTGCCACTTCGATTGGGTCACCGACACGGGTGCCCGTTCCGTGACACTCAAGGAAGGTCGTCTCGCCGGGATCAAGCCCCCCTGCATTCTTGTAGCTGTACATCATGATATTAGCCGTGGCTCTAGAAGGCACAGTCGATACTGTGGATAAAACTCACGCTTCTCGGATGAGGGCCTCTTGTGCTCGGCCGCTGGGGTTAGTGATACCCTTCGTACGCCCATTAGCATTGACTGCACAGCCTCTGATTAGCGCGCGGATTGGAGACGCATCCTGCATTGCAAGCGAGGCTGTCTTTAAATAGAGAGCTGCGTAACCTTCGCCGCGTGCATACCCATCTGCAGACTCATCGAAAGTGTGGCACCTGGAGGAAGGTGACAGAGCGCCCAGTTTTCCCATGGCCATGTGGCTGTTGGGGTCCATAAGCCAATTCGACCCTGCTACAATCGCCGAATCGCAATCCCCGTTCCGTATAGCGGTAATGGCCAGGTGAAGCGCATATATGGACGAGGCGCATGCACTGTTTATCAACAGACTCGGGCCTTGGAGGTTGAAAATGTAATGAATGCGGTTGGCCAGCATGTTAGGAAAGGCACCACTGGCCGAGTACTTGCCACTATAGTCCCAATCACGTGTCTGGGACACATAATTGTCGAGGGAGATGTCGCCCACAAAGACCCCGATTCTACCCCCGGATACACTGTCCCACGTCTCCCCCGCATTCTCGAATGCTTCATATGTCACTTCGAGTAGCTTGCGTTGCGAGGCGTCCATGGTTTCCGCCTCGGCATCAATAATCCCGAAGAAGGACGGGTCAAAGAGCCGCGGATCCTCTTTCAAGAGGAAGCCACTGCTGCCTACAGCGGTTCCAGGGCGATCTAAATTGGGATGATAGAAGCCCTGGGCTGAAAAGCGCGGCGCGGCAAACTCCCCCTGGACATCCTTCTGGTCCCGGAGGAACTCCCAGAATGCAGGAATGTCATGAACACCACCTGGAAGACGGCAACCTTCTGAAGTCAGCAAGGTTTAATATTTCAAAAACCCAGGGAAATTCAATACCCATGCCAACAATGGCAATCGGCTCGCACTCATTCGATTTTGGAGTTTCCATGATGGGTTGACAGGAAGTATAGGTAGTAATGGATAAGACTCAGAAAAATGGGGCGGGTATCTTTCGAAAAGGTGAAACATCAAATACAGAGGTCGTTCCTCTTTCTCAATTTAAATAATACAAATGTGACTATATTTGTCAATCGACTTGCTGTATTCACCTATCAGGCAGCCTCGTCCACGGCAACAGGGCCCCTATATAATCTCATATCCCAGAAAGCTGCAATTTTAGGGGGAAAGATGTGGTCCTGTTATAGTCTCATACTAAGACCGGTTCAATGAAAATATGACGTGCCTTTTTGTACATCACCTGTATCCTGTATGTCTAATGTCGTGATACATGAGATTCCCGGTTTCATCACACCGAAAACCTCCGGGGATTTCGTGATCGACATTCACATGGCCAACATGTACTGACTGCACAGGGAATCGGACTTGTAGCGAGGATAACTTTAGCCGAGTTCGGCTCCGTGTTAGTAGAACGGTGCAATGATAACACAGGCAGGCTCGTTTGCAAATACTACTGGTGGGGGTATATCAAGACGTTTCCGCATTGATCGATGTGCACATAGTTCCAAAAGTTTGATACATCCACAGATGCAGGAATTTCAAGCTCCAATATGGGAGATACTATCCAGCATACTTCGTCGGAACCTGCAAGGGATAAGGTACGGTAACACTCGACTCAGTAGCCTGCATCACTCCGTGTAACTTATACGTAATTCAATGATAAGACAACAGCAAGTCCGAATTGCAGAAGATGAAAAACCAGGCATGATCAAATGAGATAAAGCTAAGATTAAGAAACTACTTAAAGGGCGATAAGAAAAAAATAAAGAAAAAGTCAGAGAGAGAAACAAAATGATGTGATATCCCCCAAGGGAGACCCCGTGTGGCCCTGAACCTTCGGAGCAAGCTTGTAAGGGATGCCTAGCTACATAAGCCTGGTGCACCAGATTGCTAGACGTTTATCTTGTGGTGTAACTGGAAAACAGGGGTTCCGTCTGCAGAAGCGCACCTAGGGCGCGCCCCTGAAAATTATATGATTAGTTCGGTTAACATATTACTAATTCTGGAAGTAGCATTAGACGACTTATATGACGGTAGCAATCAATTAGGGTTACCTAATAATAAACTGAGTAACAGATAGTACCCTAGTTTGGAAGAGATTGAATTATATGAATGCTATATGGTATCGTGTGTGGAAGTCTGGGAAGCTGAGGTCTTAGTATACTATGTATGGGTTCCTCACGTAGCATCTGCGGGTAATGTTGGATTCCTAGCACACACCTGCAACCCAGTTATTTATCGAGAATATTCTTTTTTCCAAAGAAGAATTACAATAATTTCTATATAACTTGTATTCTTCAACATTACATGCAGCACTTATATCTGCGTAAATATCAAATTTGAATGGTTTTCCCAATCGCATCAGACTTCATTACGTTCAGCCGACAATAAATACGTAAAACATGTATTTGCCCAGTGGCCACTAATGCCCGCCGTAGCCGTCTGACCACAAAGGCTGACATGACAATCTGTCACTCCAAATGTTAGCGGGACCTCCAGACCGGGGAAACAACTCAACCATGTGCTACTGCTCCGCATTACTCCACAGACAATATTATTAGAAAGAAAGACAACTCAAACTCTCCCCCGACAGCTGAGGTGTCGACAAGATGGGAAGAGCCGCTATGCATCCCATCGGCCGAAAGCGTCGGGTCACCACCTGCGTGCCCTGCTACACTAGGAAACAGAGAGTGCGTAAACATCGCTAATGCAGCACCGAATAGCTTAAAGTTAAGTTCTAATGCGAGGAGCTAGTGCAACCGCCAGTACCCCTGCAATCATTGCACCCGACGTCGACGGCCCGAGGAGTGTGTGTACCAGTCTACTATTGCCCAACCCTCGAACATTTCGCCTCGGGAATCTATCAGAGACCTGGAGCCTCGGGAACCAGCTAGTGTTGAGTTACCAGAAGAGATTGCCGAGATTTCATCGTCCGAGGCGAAGAATGGCTCATCTAATCCACACTCTACTCTGGCTAAATCCTTTGGCTACTTCGAGCACAGTGACTCTAATACAATGGCTTTGCTCAAAAAGGTGAGATGCACATAAACACTTGGACTATCTACCCCAGAGGCACGGCTAATCTCGAATGACGTAGTGGGACCTTGACAGCAGGGACCAAGATGAGAACACCCAGGGTATGTCAACTACAGTCCTGGAGACAGTTCAAGAATATTTTGATCGAATGCCTCCCCGTCCGATATTGGATTTCCTGATGCAGTATTTCGTCGATGATTTGAACTGGTAAGTCCGTGGCTACTAATTAATCGGGTCCAGGTCGACTAATGCTTCGCGGAACAGGATGAAACAAATCATTTACCCACCCAGCTTTCTGACACACTATCAGCAATGGTGGGCCAAGAAATGGCCCCTTTCTGTGGAGGAAATTGAATTTGCCGCTCTGATACTTCGGATTGGTGCCTACTCGGCACATTTCCTGCCTTCTCCAACCCACACTTCTGATTGGATTCATGGGCAGCCACTCTCGGAAGTCCGTAACACCTGTAGTGACATTGGTGATGAGCTTGCCAGAGCATGCCTGGCTTTGGACTGGAAAGGATCTCTAGTCCGAGTTCAGCACGTTTTATTCGCCTCTCTCAAGTTCTCCTGTGAAGGGAGGACTGATAAATTTTGGGAAGGCATTGCCTCTGCTTGTAGTGCAGCGCAGAAGGCAGGTATTCACACGGTCGCACCTGTGCCAGGGGAGGGTAGTTCTCAAGTACTAGAGAAGGAGATGCGCCGGAGAACGCTATGCGGGCTGTATGTTCTGGACAGGTGTGTATGCTATCTTCTTGGCTCTACAATCCTTCGCTGACGTGGGTGGATCGACAAGCCATCTGGCCCGACAGCTTGACCGGGTCCCAATTTTCCCCGACAACCTAGTTTTAGAGACGTTACCACGATTACGCCTTGCCCCGGACATCATCGACTTGTCTACACCTGCGGACACACCTGAAATCTTCACCGAGCGTCTCATGCAGGTCCGGTTGGGAATGTTTTGGAGAAGCTTGGGTTCCAAATGGAACCTACCGTATGACCCTATCCACGGCGAAGAGCGGTATGAACGATTCTGTGCGGACTATATCCCTACCTTACCCCCGGAATTTGCACTCAATCCGGATCGGAAGTGGGATGTCCAACTTCCTAAGTTGCCCATGCAGAGACAGCTGCTCTACATCGCTATCTTCGATTCCGTTTGTTGGAACTTTCGCCCCCTACTGTTGCTGAAACCCAGCCAAGTCACCAGTCTACCTCTTTATAAACAGGTTCTTCTCCGGTCTCAAAAGCATAGGCTGGCTCTAGTTGCTCTCGAGGAACTACATGCTGTTACCACTCTGCATACCATGTTCGGAGGCTCCCACACGCGTTTCAGCGCCATCATATTCAACACGTTTGAAGCCGCAGTTGTTCTTCTGGTACTTTGTACACATAAAGACTTCCCCTTTGATCAAGGCGAGAGTCATGCCGATATTCTCGGTTTGAGAGTGGCCACCCTGACTCGGGCGAAAACGATGCGGGCAGTTGAGAAGGCTTTGGGGCGACTTCAGATGCTGGCTGAGGTCAGTGAGATGGCTGCCTCTGGAGCACAGGTTGTGACGCAGCTGTTTACGAAGGCTGTTAGACTTGGGCAACTCCAAGAGCCAGACACCACCACTGATTCAAACCAGAACTCCTTATCCCCGCGTATATCTCCGAACTTTCCCAACGTAGACAGTGGCTCTGGGCTCTGGATGCCCCCAGGGGAATGGAATCTGACGTCGATGCCAGACATGTTGTCCGCCATAGGTCATGGTGACGCATACTCAATGCTGCAATTTCCTCCTCTTGACCCCACGTGTTGGAATAGCAACTTTCATAACTAGATTGGAATTATCGTCAATCATATACTGACTGGATCGTAAGCACTGCCGGTGCATATGTGGATCTGCGATCAAACAATTTTTTCAAAGCTGATGTTCGTAACTTTCGTAAAATTCCTCGGCTCCGTCAAAAGTTTTTGTGCCCAAGCCATAGGTGATCTGCAATATATATTGTCATTTTCGATAAATATGAAGAGAGTGTCTTGGCAATTATGTCTCTAGACCCTTTTTCATTGAATTATTGCCCAGTATTAACCCAGCGGGTACTGTCTCGCCCTCTTGATGTATGTTTGTTCACTACATCTTCTCTTTTGCTCTTGGCTCCTGAAATCTAATTCTGCATCCCATAAACATTCAGTTAAGCTTACACACATACTGCTATTCCGGTAACCCTAAAGAACGCCGTCCGAGAGCTGTACGTAAACGCGACTCCTTCAGGCGCGTCAGTGATCTGCATATCGCCATTGGGCAGAATTCGACAATATGCCACAACGTTTATATGCTTGTTTGAGTCAGGAGTTACTATGGTCATGGGTTGGGTTGGTTTTGGATGCACTATGCTCTTTGTCGGGTGAGTGCGTGGGGCGTTCTATCTTCGGCCGACGAATTTCGGGTGAGCGACATGGATGTTACATGATGATCCCCCGGTCTCCCACGGGGATAGTCTTTGCTAAACTCCTAATCCCGCCATCGTAGCAACAGTAAAGCTCAATTTGTAGAAACCATATGTCCTGCAATATCCCTGTCGTGGGTAAATTCACGACGTGGTGCGCCGGTCCTAACGGACATAAGGAGATGCAAGTGTGAGATCTACCCTGGCTCGACGCTATACAAATGCGCCATTTCCCCCAGTCGCTCAGTCCTCTAAACCATGTACTAACCTCTCAGTCCCGCTATTATCAAAGCTGCAGCGCACCCACTTTCCTGAATCCGGAATCTAGGCTCCACCATGGATAGTTCTCTCCGTCATCGCGAAGAATCCGACGAGAAAGGACCACACGGCGACGCCAATGCCACCGAAGACGATGTCCGCGAAATCACCGGATTTCGCTGGTTTCTGATCTGTGCTGCC